AACCACCATTACTTTAGGCCAATTTACGTTATGAAAATATATAGTGTTATTATTTTAAGGCGAAGACACAGGTGTTAATTAGTAAGTTGCTTACCTGTGAGGAAGAGATTGTTGTCATTGATCGCTGATGTATGGTGGTGTGTGTGGTGTGTGGTGTGTGTGGTGGTGATGTATGGTGGTGTGTGTGGTGTGTGGTGTGTGTGGTGGTGATGTATGGTGGTGTGTGGTGGTGTGTGTGGTGGTGGTGTGTGTGTGGTGGTGGTGATGTGTGGTGTTGTGTGTGTGTGTGTGTGGTGGTGATGTATGGTGGTGTGTGTGGTGGTAATGTGTGGTGGTGGTGTGTGGTGTGTGTGGTGGTGATGTGGTGGTGTGTGTGTGGTGTGTGGTGGTGTGGTGGTGTGTGTGGGTGTGTGTGTGGTGGTGTGTGGTGGTGATGTGGTGTGTGTGTGGTGGTGTGTGTGTGTGTGTAATGTGTGGTGGAAATGTGTGGTGGAAATGTGTGGTGTTGTGTGTGGTGATGTGTGGTGTTATGAGGTGGTGTATGTTGTTAAGTGGTGTATATGTTATGTGATGGTGTTATGTGGTAGTGCTAGGCTGTCCCTCACCTACCTGTAAAGAAAGAATTATATGGTTAGAGTTGTCATCTCAAGTAACATTATCCAGGATAATTATGTTGACCACAGAGAACAGTGAGGCAGTGTTCTATCTCGATTTTTTTTTTGTGGTTTCTTCTTTTCTTTTTTTATTTGTCTTCTTCCTTCTTCATCTTATTCTTTTATTTCATTTACTGCTTTTCTTCTTTCATGATCGTTGTAGGTATTAGTGTGTGTGTGTGTGTGTGTGTGTGTGTGTATGTATGTATGTATGTATATATGATCCCGGCCAATTAGTGGTTCATTTCACACTGTCAACATTAAGGGCGTCACGGGGGGTAAATAAACAAGATTTGATGTTTACAGCTGTTTGTGTACACACACATATATGTATGAATACTGAGAGAGAGAGAGAGAGAGAGAGAGAGAGAGAGAGAGAGAGAGAGACCAGGAATATATTCATAGACATGGATAAACACACAAGAACACACATCAGAGGACCTGCTAATGTGTTCCCTAGATACTCCAACAGCCACCTATACACACAGCCAAATCCCCCGGCCGAGTGAGCCACCAGCATAATCTAATCTGGTCTGACTGTCACTGTTGCCTCGGGTACAGTTTCACCTCCCACAGCATCAGGGTACGAACGTGGTGGCCTCAGGTTATGTTTGGTTGCATTGAAACGTAACTGATCCTTCCCAAATGCCGTTTTTTACTCTATAGGATACAATTTTATTACTGGAAATGAATTGGAAATGTACACTCCACTTCCCCCAAAAAAGTATCCTTACCTTTTTGTCAGATAATTATAACACAAAGGACGAAGGATTTTGACAACCATAGTGACGACAGGACTTACAGTGTTCATTTTAAAATTCATCAGATCCCCCCATGAACATACCTTTTGGGGGACGTGTATAATAAGTTAAAATGAATAATATTTACCAAGAACAAGTAAACGAATGTGGCGTTGCGGGTTCACTTTCAAGTACAGAGGAATATATATTTATACGACATCTGACACGCCCGATGTCTTGCCTCTCTCTAAGATACGAGCAGCTCTTAGTCACGTCTCTAATGTACATCTTCCTGGGAGCTCGAGGCCTTTTACACGAATATAAATTTAAAGTGTAATATTATTTCCTTCCAAGGTTAGTGTGTATCGCTTAAGTGTGAAACCAAAGATACAAGACGAGGACTATAATTTAACCCTTTGAGGACGATGATTTAACCCTTTGAGGACGATGATTTAACCCTTTGAGGACGATGATTTAACCCTTTGAGGCCGATGATTTAACCCTTTGAGGCCGATGATTTAACCCTTTGAGGACGATGATTTAACTATTTTAGAATGATGATTCAACCATTTGAGGACGATGATTTAACCCTTTGAGGACGATGATTTAACCCTTTGAGGACGATGATTTAACCCTTTTAGGACGATGATTTAACCCTTTTAGGACGATGATTTAACCCTTTGATGACTCGAGGGGTAAAGATCTTAATAAATCTCACACACGCATCTCTCTTTGGGGGGGAGGGGCAGGGGGGGGAGGGGCAGGGGGGGAGGGGTGATGTTTACAGACAAGTGATGTGCATTTACTTGAGATAGATTCCGTCAAGAACCTTATAGATCCCGTCAAAAGTTACTGTACACAAAGCGATAGATTCCCGACATCAAACACAGGTACAATGATCATTACTTGCCAGGTACATCATACCCCGACCATTCCTTGATTTGTTGTTGTTGGTTTTAGTTACAAAGGTCCAAGAAGTTTAAGGTCATAACACAGGGTATATCAATGCCTCAGTATGTTAGCGCCGCCTTCGACACCAGTCTAGTTAGGGTGAAATTCATTTTCACTTGTTACAAATGCCAGATATGCCAATTACCTGCATGAACC